CCCAACTGGCCATTGATTGTTGCTCTCTGATTGGCTCTCACATATAAACTAGTTACTGATCCCACATCGTAAATACCAGACCCTTGAAGCCAGGAGGGTCTTGCAGTGCCGAGAACTTGCTGGTTGATGGAGGCAGTTTGGTTTATAAATGTATAGTAGRCAACCTGCAARGTCGGGTTGAAGCATATCAACAGAGTTTGCAAAAATCGACCGTCATCGACACTGAAGCCAGCTTCCAGTTCCACACCGTCTGAAGCACAAGTATTYCCAGTTCGTTGAATTCCTCTCCAATATGTGCTGCTACATATTAAATCWGACCATTCTATTATCTCATTTCCAACTGCAAACTCCGAGYCAGAGAAACACGTTCCGCTCAACAATGAGTTGTTCGTTTSAGATCCGCCAATTAAAATCGTTCGTCCTGGACATATGAAATCAACAGCTTCTCCGTGTTTAAATCGTAGTACTTTTTCTCCCCAAATCGGATAAAGAAAGTTGCTGGTTCCAGATAAGACTATTATAGGATGTAGGCTGACTTCAAATGGATTAATTGCACAATCTGAAATTGTGTTTAAAAATAGATTTTTAATGCCAGTTTTTTTAATATAAAGCTATCAAATTATTTAATATGCCTACCAATGCATACACAGAGTGTACTTTTCACGGCAAAAATATTGTTCATTTTGCACCCTAAAAAATTCGGAATGCTGTTGTTGCATGCAATGCAATTTTCACAATTCACAAAGCTATAAATTTATCTTGTAATTTTTCGCGTAAAAGACCTCCAGATCGTCAGTATTTTTAAGTAAAACTGTACAAAATAGAACGTTTTTGAGTAGAAAGTAAAGCAAGAAAAATCAGTAAAAACTAAAAAACCAGATTTTTTAACAAATTCCGCAGTCTTCAGAGGAATGGGGGTGACGAGTTTTCCAAATAATTGATTATAAACTTTCGCTTATTCTGTTTGTTTTTTGATAGAAAATTATTTGATTTGTCCCGAATTCGAAGCTGGCAACTGATTTGAAAACTTTTCGCGGAAAATACCTTAAGATTGTCAGTATTTTTTAAGCTAAACTTGAGAAAATTGAGCGTTTTGAAGAAAGAGTAAATAAACCTGAAACTGGAAAACTCTGAAATTTTGAATTTTTTTTTCAAAATGTTATAAATAAATAAATAGCTCTTAAAATAAATCTAAAAGCAACAAAAAAAGTCGTTAACATTTTCCCAGCGACGAAGTTACTTCGCCGGTGTGTTGGGTTGGCGCACCAAGCCATTTGTGCAACACTGCGCCAACTCCTAAAAATTCACTTTTACCGAGGCCTACATTGAATGTTTAATAAACAAGGGCCCTAAACCTTAAGACCCAACAAGAGCATTCCGAATTTTTTAAGGTGCAAGATGAACAATATTTTTGCCGTGAAAAGTACACTCTGTGTATGCATTAGTAGGCATATTAAATAATTTGATAGCTTTATATAGCTAAAAAATTCGGAATGCTCTTGTTGGGCAGAAAAGAGTTTTTTGAATCTCTACCTCAAAAGTTTGAAGATAAACCAATTAGCTCTAAACGGGTGTTAAATTTTTCGGACATCTGCTACTTTCAGGGGGTCTCAAAAAATCAAGTTTTTTGGCCCTTGTGATTCTGGCAAACTTCCAACTAAAGGGAAGTTTACTTTCAAATATTTCGTTTATTGATGCAACCCGGTATAATGATTTTTTTCTGAAGTGAACTGAATTTTTAGCTTCAATATGAAGCCTACATTTTCAAAATGGTTTAAGAGAAAAAATGTATCACTGCAATACCAAAATGTTTATTGTCCAAATTGAGACCACTGTAAATAAGCCAAATGAACAAAAAATTAAATTTTTTTTGTCAGATATGAATGAGGTCTCTTCTATCTTAATGCATGTGGTGTTGAAATATAAAAAAACTTTTTTGTCCAACTGAAAACACGTGGAACTTTCACCAATTTTGTAGTGTTTCATTTTCCACCCCGTAGAAACTACCTAAAGCCCCATTTTTGTGCAAAAACACGGATTAACCGAAAAACAATTGGACTAAATAACAGTTCAAACAGAAATAGTATCGCTCGCAGCAATCAGAATTTATCCAGTTCCAAATTTGTCAGTGGAACGTTGATTTGGTTAAGCAGTTTAGTTTTATAAAAGAAAATTAACTTTCGTGGAGATTCCTTCGAATCCCTCCTGGGTGTAGTGGATTTGAATCTCTTTCTGTCGTTTCGCCAGCACGAGTTGTTTTCATTTTTAGATGTGTTTTGCTGTATTGATGAAGTAAGGAATAATTTCTTCCGCAAAAGTCCAGTTTTGATTAAACAAGAGGCGAAATCATTGACTATGGCTCCAAAATCAGTAGTCATACTGATATTTTCAGAAAAATATTAAGTCAAGGTATGCGCGCTTCTGGGTCAAAAAATGTTCTCCTGCGGTTTCGTATATATTAATAAATTGTCACATTTTTACTTTAAACTTTAACATCTACCTATGTATTTTCGTATCGAAGTCCGTAAAAACCCGTGTTTATTAGAACGTGTGATCTTAAGGTTTAGGGCCCTTGTTTATTAAACATTCAATGGAGGCCTCGGTAAAAGTGAATTTTTAGGAGTTGGCGCAGTGTTTCACAAATTGCTTGGTGCGCCAACCCAACGCACCGGCGAAGTAACTTGGTTGCTGGGAAAATGTTAACAACTTTTTTGTTGCTTTTAGATTTATTTTAAGAGCCATTTATTTATTTACAACATTTTGAAAAAAAAATTCAAAATTTCAGAGTTTTTCAGTTTCAGGTTTAGTTACTCTTTCTTCAAAACGCTCAATTTTCTCAAGTTTAACTTAAAAATACTGACAATCTTAAGGTATTTTCCGCGAAAAGATTTCAAATCAGTTTCCAGCTTCAAATTCGGGACGAATCAAATAATTTTCTATCCAAAAACGAAGAGAATAAGCGCAAGTTTATAATAAATTATTTGGAAAACTCGTCAGCTCCATTCCTCTGAAGACTGCAGAATTTGTTAAAAAATCTGGTTTTTTAGTTTTTACTGATTTTTCTTGCTTTACTTTCTACTCAAAAACGTTCTATTTTGCACAGTTTCACTTAAAAATACTGACGATCTGGAGGTCTTTTACGCGAAAAATTACAAGATAAATTTATAGCTTTGTGAATTGTAAAAATTGAAAATTTGTGAAGTGAAATTTACAAAAACTTTTCAGCGTCGAATTCGGGACAAGACGAAAATAGTTTTCTCCCGTTTTTCCCCGAAAGTCGTTAAGGTTTACTCAAAAACCGATCACAACACTGAAAGTTGTCAATCAAAAGTGCAAAAAAACATTATTTACTAATTATTTTCTTCTCAATATCACTCGACTATTCATCCGTTATTTATTTTGACCAACAACATACAAACAACTCACCTAATTGACGGAAAGTCGGCATGTCTACTCATGGA